AGACAAAATGCTAACTAGAATAACCAGCTTAGAGAAGAAAATAAATGACTTGATGGAGTTGAAAAACACAGTATGAGGACTACATGAAGCAAGCACAAGTTTTAAAAGCTGAATCGATCAAGCAGAAGAAAGGATATCAGAGGTTGAAGATCAACTCAATGAAATAAAAGGAGAAGGCAAGACAAGAGAAAAAAGAGTTAAAAGAAATGAACAAAGCCTCCAAGAAATGTGGGATTATGTGAAAAGACCTAACCTACGCTTGATGGGTGTACCTGAATATGATGGGGAGAATGAATCCAAGATGGAAAACACACTCCAGGATATTATCCAGGAGAACTTCCCAAGCCTAGCAAAGCAGTCCAAATTTCAAATTCAAGAAATACAGAGAACTCCACAAAGATATTCCTCAAGAAGAGCAATCCCAAGGCACATAATTGTCAGATTCACCGTGGTTGAAACAAAGGAAAAAATGCTAAGGGCAGCCAGAGGGAAAGATTGGGTCACCCACAAAGGGAAGCCCATCAGACTCACAGCAGATTTCTCGGCAGAAACCCTACAAGTCAGAAGAGAGTGGAGGCCAATATTCAACATGCTTAAATAAAACAACTTTCAACCCAGAATCTCATATCCAGCCAAATTAAGCTTCATAAGTGAAGGAGAAATAAACTCCTTTATGGACAAGCAATTACTAAGAGATTCTGTCACCACAAGACCTGCCCTACAAGAACTCCTGAAAGAAACACTAAGCATGGAAAGGAACAAGTACCAGTCACTGCAAAAGCAAACCAGTTGGCAAAGACCAAAAATGCAATGAAGAAAATGAGTCAACTAATGGGAAAGAAAACCAGCCAGGAACAAATTGGCAGGACCAAATTCATACATAACAATAGTAACATTGAATGTAAATGGTCTAAACGCCCAAATCAAACAGGCAAACTGGATCAAAAGTCAAAACCCATTGGTGTGCTGTATTCAGGAAACCCATCTCACATAAAAAGACACACATAGACTCAAAGGGATGGAAGAAGATTTACCAAGCAAATGGAGAAGAAGAAAAAGCAGGGGTTGCAATCCTAGTCTCTGATAAAACGGACTTTAAACCAACAAAGATCAAAAGAGACAAAGAAGGACACTACATAATGGTAAAAGGATCAATCCAACAAGAAGAGCTAACTATCCTAAATATATATGCACCCAACACAGGAGCACCCAGATACATAAGCAAGTTCTTAACGACCTAAAATGAGATTTAGACTCCCACACAATAATAGTGGGAAACTTCAACAGTCCACTGTCAATATTAGACAGATCAACAAGACAGAAAATTAACATGGATATCCAGGACTTGAATGCAGAGGTGGACCAAGCGGATCTAATAGACATATACAGAACACTTCACCCCAAATCCACAGAATATACATTTTTCTCAGCACCAGTCTAAAATTGACCACATCATTGGAAGCAAACCACTCCTCAGCAAATGCAAAACAATGGAAATCATAACAAACAGTGTATCAGACCACAGTGCAATCAGACTAGAACTCAGGATTAAGAAACACACTCAAACCCACACAACCACTTGGAAACTGAACAACTTGCTTCTGAGTGTCGACTGGATAAACAATGAAATGAAGGCAGAAATAAAGACGTTCTTCGAAACCAATCAGAATGAAGACACAACTTAGCAGAATCTCTGGGACACCTTTAAAGCAGTGTCGAGAGGGAAATTTATAGCAATAAATGCCCACATGAGAAACAAGGAAAGATCTGAAATTGACACCCTATCATCAAAACTGAGAGAGCTAGAGGAGGAAGATCAAAAAAACTCAAAAGCTAGAAGACAAGAAATAACTAAGATCAGAGCTGAACTGAAGGACATAGAGACACAAAAAACCCTTCAAAAAATCAATAAATCCAGGAGTTGGTGTTTTGAAAAGATCAACAAAATAGACCACTAGCCAGATTAATAAAAAGAAAAGGGAGAATAATCAAATAGATGTAATCAAAAATGATAAAGGGGATACCACCACTGATCCCACAGAAATACAAACTACCATCAGAGATGACTACAAATAGCTCTATGCACATAAACCAGTAAACCAGGAAGAAATGGATAAATTCCTAGACACTTGTACTCTACCAAGACTAAACCAGGAGGAAGTTGAAACTCTGAATAGACCAATAACAAGGGCTGAAGTAGAGGCAGCAATCAATAGCCTACCAACCAAAGAAAGTCCAGGTCCAGACAGGTTCACAGCCGAATTCTACCAGATGTACAAAGAGGAGCTGGTTCCATTCCTTCTGAAATTGTATCAAATAATACAAAAGGAGGGAATCCTCCCTAACTCATTTTATGAGACCAACATCATCCTGATACCAAAACCTGGCAGAGACTCAACTAAAAAAGAAAACTTCAGGCCAATATCCATGATGAACTTTGACACAAAAATCTTCAATAAAATACAGGCAAACAGATTGCAACAGCACATCAAGAAGCTTATCCATCACGACCAAGTAGGCTTCATGCCAGGGATGCACGACTGGTTCAACATACGCCAATCCATAAATGTAATCCATCGCATAAGCAGAACCAAAGACAAAAACTACATGATGATCTCAATAGATGCAGAGAAGGCCTTTGACAAAATTCAACAGCCCTTCGTGCTAAAAACTCTCAATAAACTAGGTATTGACAGAATGCATCATAAAATAATAAGAGCTATATATGACAAACCTACAGCCAATATCATACTGAATGGGCAAAATCTGGAAGTCCCTTTGAAATCAGGCACTAGACAAGGATGCCCTCTGTCACCACTCCTGTTCAATATAGTATTGGAAGTTCTAGTCAGAGCAATCAGGCAAGAAAAAGAAATAAAGAGTATTCAATTAGGAAAGGAGGAAGTCAAACTGTCTCTATTTGCAGATGACATGATTGTATATCTAGAAGAGCCCATCGTCTCAGCGCAAAATCTTCTCAAACTGATAAGCAACTTCAGCAAAGTCTCAGGATACAAAATCAATGTGCAGAAATCACAAGCATTCCTATACACCAATAACAGACAAACAGAGAGCCAAATCAAGAGCGAACTACCATTCACAATTGCTACAAAGAATAAAATACCTAGGAATACAACTAACAAAGGATGTAAATGAACTCTTCAAGGATTACTACAAACCACTGCTCAAGGAAATAAGAGAGGACACAAACAGATGGAGAAACTTTCCATGCTCATGGTTAGGAAGAATTAATATCATGAAAATGGCCATACTGCTAAAAGTAATCTATAGATTCAATGCTAGCCCCATCAAGTTACCAATGTTCTTCTTCACAGAGCTGGAAAAAACCACTTTAAACTTCATATGGAATCACAAGAGAGCCCGCAAAGCCAAGTCAATTCTAAGCAAAAAGAACAAAGCTGGAGGCATCACACTGCCGGACTTCAAACTATACTACAAGACTACAGGAATCAAAACTGCATACTACTGGTACCAAAACAGACACAGACCAATGGAACAGAACAGAGACCCCAGAAGAAGCACCGCACATCTGCAACCATCTGATCTTTGACAAACCCAGCAAAAACAAGCAATGGGGAAAAGATTCCATGTTTAATAAATGGTGTTGGGAAAACTGGCTAGCAATGTGCAGAAAGCAGAAACTGGACCCTTACCTGTCACCTTACACTAAAATTAACTCTAGATGGATTAAAGATTTAAACATAAAACCTAACATCATAAAAACACTAAAACAAAACATAGGCAAAACCATCCAAGACATAGGCATAGGCAAGGACTTCATGATTAAAACACCAAAAGCCACGGCAACAAAAGCCAAGATAGACAAATGGGATCTAATTAAAATTCAGAGCTTCTGTACAGCAAAAGAAACCATCATTAGGGCGAATCAGCTACCAACAGAATGGGAAAAAATTTTTGCAATCTACCCACCTGACAAAGGGCTAATAACCAGAATCTACAAAGAACTAAAACAGATTTACAAGAAAAAAACAACCCCATTCAAAAGTCGGCGAAGGATATGAACAGACACTTTTCAAAAGAAGAAATATATGAGGCCAACAAACATATGAAAAAATGCTCATCATCAGTGGTCATTAAAGAAATGCACATCAAAACCACATTGAGATACCATCTCACGCCAGTTAGAATGGCGATCATTAAAAAATCTGGAGACAACAGATGCTGGAGAGGATGTGGAGGAATAGGAACACTCTTACACAGTTGATGGGAGTGTAAATTAGTTCAATCATTGTGGAAGACAGTGTGGTGATTCCTCAAGGACCTAGAAATAGAGATTCCATTTGACCCAGGAATCCCATTACTGGGTATATATCCAAAGGATTATAAATCATTCTATTATAAGGACACATGCACATGTATGTTCATTGCAGCACTGTTTACCATAGCAAAGACTTGGAACCAACCCAAATGCCCATTGATGATAGACTGGACAGGGAAAATGTGGCACATATATACCATGGAATACTATGCAGCCATTAAAAACGAGTTCATGAACTTTGTAGGGACATGGATGAAACTGAAAATCATCATTCTCAGCAAACTGACACAAGAACAGAAAATCAAACACTGCATGTTCTCATTCATAGGCGGGTGTTGAACAATGAGAACACATGGATACAGGGAGGGGAGCATCACACATGGGGGGACTAGGGGAGGGACAGTGTCGGGTAGGGAGTTGGGGAGGGATAACATGGGGAGAAATGCCAGATATAGGTGATGGGGATGGAGGCAGCAAACCACATTGCCATATATGTGCCTATGCAACAATTTTGCATGCTCTTCACATGTACCCCAGAACCTAAAATGCAATTTTATATATATATATATATATATATATGTAAAATAACCAAAGAAAAATGTGTACTCTAACTAATACACTTGGTTTTCGCAGCAGTGTGGGTTAGGAATTCTGAAATTAATTTGTGTGTATCTGGGTGTGAGCGGCCGCTCTCACTCACCATTTATTGCCACTGATTTCATGCTGCTGTACTGTGTAGCCAAAGAAGGCGGTTTTGGAGCCTGGAATGACCCGGGGTTTCCTGGTGTCCATGTTGAAGGTGTCTGTGAACCCTGAAGGGGGGAAGAGGAGAGAGAAGTGAACAGACGCAGGGGAGTCAGACAGGCACAGGTGTAGGCCTTGGGCTGTGTCAGGACCCACCAGCAGGTCATGAACCTTGGAGGGTCTTGGCTGTGGGGAGAGCATGCTTCTCCATCTTGGGGAGTCCCTGTATGAGGTCGCTGACGTGGTCCCTGCCTGGAAGGGCCCACAGTCTGATGGGAGAGATCCCACCCCTGTCCTGGAGGAGCCTGATAAGGTTTTGATGCGTATCTCTTCCAAATCTCATGTTGAAACGGGACTCCCAATGTTGGAGGTAGGGCACGGTGGGAGGTGTTTGGGTCATGGGGATGGATCCCTCATGAATGGCTTGGTGCCGTCCTCCTGGTGATGAGTGAGTTCTCACTCTGAGTTCCCACAGATCCAGCTGTTGAAGAGGGTGGGCCTCCCCGCTCTCTTTCTTGCTCCGACTCTTGCATATGACAGGCTGGCTCCCCTTTCCTTCCACCATGAGTGGAAGCTCCCTGAGGCCCTCATCAGAAGCAGAAACTGGTGCCATGATTCTTGTACAGCCTGCAGAACTATGAGCCAAAATAAACCTCTTTTCTTTTCCTTCTTTTTTCCCCAAGACAGAGTCTCACTCTGTGGCTCAGGCTGGAGTACAATGGCTCGGTCTTGGCTCACTGCAACCTCTGCCTCCCCGATGCAAGCAATTCTTGTGCCTCAGCCTCCCAAGGAGCTGGGACTACAGGCACATGCCACCGTGCCTGGCTGATTTTTACACATTTTTTAGTAGAGACAGGGTTCCACCATGCTGGCTGGGTTGTTTTCTTTCTAAATTACCCAGTCTCAGGTATTGCTGTAAGCCCCACAAAGAAAGGCCTGATACAGACCCTGTACCTGGATGGGGGAGGCATAAAACCTGCTCTCATCAACCTGTTTTGATGCTACCAATGACCTGCTGTGCACCCCTGGACAAACCTCTTAACCTCTCTGGTGCTGTATCATGTGCATCTGCCAAGTGAGGTTGATGCTCACTCATTCTCCAAGGTCCTGTGAGAGCAAATGATGGCAGATGTGAGGAGGCCCAGAAACCAAAAGTGCTATACAGATGTGAGTTGTTATTGTTTTTCCTTGTGATTTGCCCAAAGGGGAGAAGCACTCCCAATACTGCCAGTTTCCCTCCTTCTCCACCACTCCTTCCTCCCACCTGCTGCTTCTGGCTTTTGCTGGCCTCCTCTCGCCTGCTCTCCCTTCTCTTCCCTCCTCCTGCCCTCATTACCCCCTGCCCTATCTGCTGAAGAGTCAGGGAACTGACATTCCCCCTCCCCTGCAAGCCTGAGGTTCTAGTGGCCACGGGCTCCAGCACTGGGCTCCCCATTTCCCTCTGAACCAGCTGGCAGAGCTTTGTCTGGCTTCGGCAGGGGCTTCTGCTTGGCCCGGGCAGCTAAAGCAGAGCACAGAGAAAGCCCCACAACCCTTTCGCCCTGGCCCCAAGGGTCGCCCGTGTTTGTTTAACTCACTGGCCAATTAACTAATTCTTCCTGGAGGGAAGCCTGTGTGGAGTCAAATGCTTTACCCCTTTGAGCAAATCACAAGAAATAAAATAGCAACTCACACCTGTATAGCACTTTTGGCTTCTGGGCCTCCTCACATCTGCCATCCTTTGCTCTCACAGGACCTTGGAGAATGAGTGACTCACTTGGCAGACGCACTTGGTACAGTACCAGAGAGGTTAAGAGGTTTGTCCAGGGGTGCACAGCAGCTCAGTGGTAGCATCAGAACTAGGACTTCAGACACCTACTCTGTGATGCCTCCCCTCCACAAGGCAGTTTCAGGACACATCTGGCCTTGATACCCATCCAAGTCACACCTCTGCCTGGTTGTCACCACTCACAAGACTACCAAACGTGGGATGCATTAAATATGAGGGGGGATGCATTAAATATGAGGGGTGGGATCCTGCCATGAGCCAAAACCTTTAGATAAGTGAAAATGAATGGACAGAATAGACCTCTTATCACTGTTGCCCCTTTCACATGCAGGGTACTTAATAAGTTTCAAAGACGATTCATGTGTTTGTTATCATTCGATCTCCATGACAACCCTGTAAGGTGGGCCGCAAAGGGAAAACCTAGGGTCAGAGGGGTTAACTGACCTGCCCATGGTCCCAAGCCCACTGGGTAGGGGCTCTGAATTTCAGGCTTGGATCTCCTTTCCCTGGGCACGAATCCCTGTTCAGTATTCAAGGGTGACGCCCTGCAGCACCTATTTGAATAGTCTATTGTACAGAAACAAGTGATTTTTCCTACAGCACCGCCCCCCCACCCTGCCTTTTTATGCTCAGCAAACAGATACAGTGGCCAAAAGTTCCATCATTAGAGTCATAAAATTAAAGTCCCCAGAGGTAAAACTGAGGGACCTACAAGTAGGGACATTAGATACCTCTTATCTTATTGAACATGCCAGTTGATCATTAGCATTTCTGGAGCACTGAGGAAAGATTTTGAGGTCAAGTCTGGGCTCCACGGGCAAGAGTGTGACTGACAGCTACAGGTACAGGGGAGGACAAGTGGCTGTGTAGCTGCCAACTCTGTCTTCGCCATTCTAATCTGCCACATGCATTAAGCGTCACGGCCCTGGAGCGGGGGTTGGAAAAGAAGCGCACATGGACCTGTTAGTGCCTTGTTTACAAAGCCTATGCCATGAATGAACTTAATATCTTGGTTAGCAGCAGGCAGCCTTGGAGAGGAGGACTCTGGTCAGGTGAGCACAGGGTCATGAAGAACACAGGTCCCCGCCAGTGAAAGCATGTCACAGAGGAGAGACAGAGAGGCGCCAATGTCACCTGTGCAGAGCTGGGAGCCTGGTGGGCACAGGGGTTTCAGAAGTAGTGTTGCAGTGGCAGAGAAATTCATCCTCTCTCCAAATCTGTCCCAGGAATGAACACACATACATGCACATACACGTGCCCAACTCACACTCGCAGACATGCATGTATGCACGCATGTGCACACACACAGATACACACATGCACAAGCCACATACACGGTGATTGTGGACAACACTTTGTCTGGCTTCCTGGTGTCCACTAGAGACTAGGTCCTCCCCTTCCTGCATCTGATCCCAGCAGGAAGAGGAAGGTATTTTCTAGCTGTCAGGAAATCCAGACAACCTACCACTTCCAGGCCTACAGAGGGGTGCGGGCCAGTGAAGATGAAGACACAGATAATGTATTTGGGGTCTTGTCCACCCCATGGCCTCTATCAGTGCATCTTGTGCAACTATGGCCAGAGGGACCCTTCCAAGACCTGTTAGACCCCATCACCCCTCAGCTCCATCCCCTCTATCGATGAGTTTCCTAGCTTATCAAAGCCAAGGCAAAACTCCTCACTGCAAGGCCCTCCATGACCTCCCGTTCACTCCGCCCCACGAATTTCTATCCTCTCCTCCTCTGCTCCAGCCACACTGACCCTCACCGTCCTTCTAATGTCAGACTCTTTCTCTGCTCAGTGTCTTTGCTGTGGCTGTTCCCTCTTCCTAGAATGCTCTTCCTCCCACTACCTGGAAGGCTCCCTCCCTCCAGTCTTAGAATCTCTGTTTCAATGCCATCTTGTCCATCAGCAGGCCACCACAGCACCCCAGGGATCCCTTCCTGCACCCCATTTTTCCTTATAGCACTTATCACAAACACATGACATTTATTTATTGTTATGTGGCTGATATTTAGAATATTCCTATAGTCTCTAAGTGCCATGGGACGCTGCTGTGTCCTCACTGCTGTTATCCTCCGTGCCTTGAATGAAAGTCTAGCTTATAGATACTGATTGACTAAAGAGTTAGAGACCATGACCCTCATTTGGCTGGGACAATCTCTCCCCTAAGTGAGGAAAAGGAGAAAGGAAGCAACACTGACTGAGCACTGATATATTCCAGGCACGATTCCAGGCATCTAAACACTAGTTTTACATTAACAATTAAATCTCACGCCAACCCTGTGAGACAGATGTGATCACACCTCTGGAAGATTAAATAGTTTGCCCCAAATCAGTCACTTGGGAACAGATTAGCTAGAAACACGATCGCATAGTTTAGGGTGCCAGGGTGATGTGTTCTCTTTCCTCTCTAGATCAGCCTTTCATAAGAAGGACTCACTGGGGAGAAGGGAAAATTCTTTTCAGAGAAGAGGGTCTCCGCTTCCTGCCCTATATCCCACTGCCTCTGCCTCTGGGTTCCAGTTGGGAGATTCAGTGGGAGAGAAAGCTGGCCACCGCGTTCCATCCTGCAGCCAAAGTGAGGTGCCCAGTGAGGGGGTGCTGGGGGCCCAGAGGGAGGTGGGACTAGTCCTAGACAGAGCCCCAACCTCACTGGGGACAGGATTAGTGAAATCTGGCCACAAGGAAGAGGCATTAAATTACGAAGTGCTGGTTTCTTGCCCAGAGACCAGTTGGCATTTGCTTCTGACCAAACCAAACCAACCAGAGAGTAGATTTCCTAAAAATGATGTCAGTCAAGTCCGTCTCTGACCTCAGGTCCTGACAAGATCTCTGGCCTCCTCCTTTTATGGTAGATGGGTTTCATGTTTTAGAAATGTTTTTCTCAGAGACTGATGACCTCCAAATACCAACAAGACAAAATAAAGTTGTTTTGATGGGAATGAACAGACCGACTGCAGAGATGCTGGGAGCCTGGTTGGGCAGCGTGCCACTGTTCCGCTCTTGATATTGATGACAGAGGGGGCAAAAAAAACCACAATTCCTGGGCCGCTCTCCTGTGGGCCGTGGCCAAAATTACGTCAACTCTTGCTCCCTTTCATAGAATCTTGTCTGTCTTTCGAAAAAAGCATCAGTCAGTCTCAAGAAGGGATGGAAACCACAGCATCAAGCCAGAGCATCACTTGGGGCTCACGGATCTCAAAGCCACTCCATTCCCGGCAGGCTAGGGTGGAGGCCGCCACCTGCCACCAGGCGGTGGTACTGAGGGCCGCTGGCCAATGCATGGCTAAGGCCATTCA